AATATTTATTATATTTATAAATATGTATATAATATTTATATATATTTCATTGTATAATAATAACAACATCAACAATAATAATAATAATAGATTTAAAAACTACATATATTATCGTATTTTATTTGAAGGCCTAACACTTACAGATTTAGTTGCTCAAATTCAAACATTAAATAAATTAATTATAATATATTTAAGAACTATATGTATACATATATATATATATATATGTATATATGTAGATACACACACACACACACACACACACACACACATAATAGTAATACTACAATACTAGTAATACTACAAACTTTCTCACAAACCGATTTTATGTACGTGTATATATATATATATATACTGTGTACAGCATAGTATAGAATACTATAAATAGTGTATATATAGTATTTTATTTAAAGGCCTAACGCTAACAGAGTTTAGTAGCTCAAATTCACACATTACATGAATTATTTCTCACATAAACTCTTTTTTTCCTCCAGTGGTTCGGCCAAACGTCACGCTGAGGGAACCTACACCAGCGACGTCAGCTCCTACCTGCAGGACCAGGCGGCCCAGAACTTTGTGGCCTGGCTAAAATCTGGACAGCCCAAGCAAGAGTAGGCCTCCGCGCTTCTAGTCCCACCTTCAGTGCCTTATAGAGTGTGAAAGAGATGGAAATAAAGAAAAAGAGCGAGTGTGAACTGACTGCTTCATCACGCTTTCTCCTGCCCAACATCCGTCTCTTTTCTAACGCACCCTGTCCAACCTCACTGCCAAATGCTAATGCTAATAAATAGCGCTGCAACCAGGCTGTGTGCTTCTGGTTATCTTTCTCTGCTAATGTCTTCTGCTTCTGTGCTAATCAAACAAATACTTCAAAATCCTGCAAAGATGCTAATTATAACCAAACATCACAAAACTAATACTACAAACTTTCTCACAAACTTACAGGCTACATGCTAAAGCTAAAAGCTAAACTGTGCCACACTGCTTCTAAAATGAGTTTAAACTTTGAAAAAGTGCCATGTACACATGCTAACAAGATGTTTATCGCATATGCGCAGTGTTGCAGACAACAGAGGCGCAAATTTGCCACGCAGGAGGCATGTAGACGGCAGTTTCACCAGTGACGTCAACAAGGTCTTGGACAGCATCGCTGCCAAGGAGTATTTACAATGGGTGATGAACTCTAAGGCGTCAGGGACAAGGTAAAGCCCTCTCTAGTGGCTAACAACAGATATGCTAAAGATATATGAATATTAAGAATGCTAATCAGTACAAAAATAATATATGGGTGTATTTTAAGGAAGTTTTATGTGGTTATTGTCTTTTCTAGTGGCAAACGTGGCGGAAATCATTGAGGAACCAGAGGGCTTCCCTGCAGGAGCTTAAATTTGGATCCTGAAGGGGATTCAATCATCAAAATGAATGAAAGCCATGTCACATACAGGCAAAATGGAAACAACTCTTGAAATCAAAAGCCATTTTATTTTATTTAAAAAAAAAAAAAACTCTGAGCACTGTGGTTGTTATTTATTTTCCCTTAGTGTTAAAGAACATCATGTAAGTTATGATGAGAGAAACAGAAATATTTTTCTATAGTTTTGAACTATTTTCTATGTGTGCGATAAAAACAAACTCAGGTGAATGCACTAAACACTCAGGTAAAAAAGTGAAATTTTACATGTGCCACCACTGTATCAAAGCTCCATAGAAATGGTGTCTTGCTCTGCAAAATAAACTTTTTCATATTTCACCCCGAGCCTGTTGTTGTACCTATAGCGCCACCTAAAGGATGTCTGTAACAATAAATGCTTTAGCAGATTCAGTTTATTATATGTGCAAACCATAAGAAAAACTGACTGGTTTATTGATGTTATTTATATATTTATGTAAGGATTTATAGTTATAATAAAACAATAGTTATATTTCTGAAATAAGCAAGATTCCTATATTTAATATAAGTAAAATACATTTTCTAATGTTTTTTTTAATATAAATAACAGGTATTTTCATTTAATTTTTAGATGTTGCCAACTTTGCCAACTATTATGACATAATTATGCTCATATTGGTTTAAGTTGAATCCTAATGTGAAGTATCAAACATATTTTTTAAGAAAATATTTTTTTTCTCCACAATTGAACAGAAAAAAATATAAGACAATATATTTTTAAAATAAATATAAAAGTATTTTCAAATATTCAAAAATATATATATTTTTGCAATTGATCAGAGATAAACATCTGAGATGAAAGAAAGAAATTATTTTGAAAAATATTTATTATTACTGAATTAACTTTAGAATATTTTTTTCTTTGCAATTGATCAGAAAAAAAAACAAAAGAAAATCTAAAGAAAATAAATATAAAAAATAATATAAAAATACAAAAAAAATATATATATATATATATATATTTGCAATTGATTAGAGAATAACATCTGGAATGAAAGAAGGAAAGAAGGAAAGAGAGAAAAATAAATTACTGAAGAAAATATATATTATTACTGAAGTAAATTAACTAGGCCTGTATAATATTTTTTTCTTTGCAATTGATAGGAAACATCTGAAATGAAAGAAAGATGTAACTAAATATTCAATAAAATATAGTATTACTGAAATAAATTACCACCACTTCAATATATACTGTGTATAAAAAATAATATAAAAATACAAAAAAAAAATATATATATATATATATATTTGCAATTGATTAGAGAATAACATCTGGAATGAAAGAAGGAAAGAAGGAAAGAGAGAAAAATAAATTACTGAAGAAAATATATATTATTACTGAAGTAAATTAACTAGGCCTGTATAATATTTTTTTCTTTGCAATTGATAGGAAACATCTGAAATGAAAGAAAGATGTAACTAAATATTCAATAAAATATAGTATTACTGAAATAAATTACCACCACTTCAATATATACTGTGCAATTTAAATTCTGTATTGAAATTAAAAAACTAGTTATAAGCTATTAAACATTTTAATAATAGTTATATTTCTGAAAAGAGCAGGATTTATTTTTTTGCAACAACAAAAACTTTATTTTTGTTTTTAATTTATTAATTTACTTAAATCTCAGGTATTGTTGCTGCTTATTTTTGTTTATTATACCATGAAACGTTATTTTCAAATATTTTCAAAAATATGTGTATTTGTTTATATGAAAAAGACGAAAAAATAGAAAGGAATCATTTTCATGTAAAAATAGCAAACACTATCTTGTGCAGTTTATAGCGTATGTAACGAAACTCAAACACTTACTAAAGATATTCATTTTCTTTATCAGTTTATCATATCTTTGCACTTGTTGCAAGGAAATCCCGCGTCACTTCCTAAGGAGGCGGAGCATCGTGAGGACGCGTTCTGTTTGCGTGTTGCGTCATCAACGTTGCGCACGTTCTCTAGACTTCTGGAAGGACGTAGAGCCGCTGCCGGTGTCATTCATATCAACACGGAGTGTTCTAGCTGTTTATAGCGTCTGTTCGGAGACTTTACACGCGTTCAAAGCATGATCAGGAACGGAAGCCATGCGGTGGAGGAGGAGGACCAGGGAGAGCCGAGCTCCTCCAGCCTCAGCCCGGGGAAGAGGAAGCGGGTGATCCGGGTGTGGTGTGACGGCTGGTGAGTGCACAAATTGTCATATGTGCTCAGTGTGCGCTGCATCTCTAACTGTTACAGCAAATAAAAGCAGCAAGAATGTTATAATGTTAGAATTCAACAAAAGAAGTAGTATAGTTACACTGGGATAGTTTTGCCATGGTATTTTAATATTTACCATGGTACTTTATAATTACCAACAAAAAGTACCATGTTTGTCGTACTATGACAGTCTTGGAAGAACCTCGGGATACAAAAGTATTTTATCGGCACCATGGTATGATTATAGCGTCACATCGTATTACTGTGGTAATTTTAAATAGATCATGGTACTAAAATTAATACTATGCTATGATATTTAACGGCTGCCTTATTCACTGTTTTTACATTGTATTAAAAAAACCATGGTATTACCACAGTACATGTGCAAAAACATAGTAGTACCACAGTATAGTGAAGTCAGACTGCTATACTATGGTACTTTGATAGTTTCCATGGAATTGAATGATTATTATATTTTAGTACCATGGTATTTATATGGTACAGCATGGCATTTTAAAGAATACCATGGTATGCATGTTCAAAATCATGGTATTATCATAGTTCACATCTGTCAAAAAAATCTAGTACCCAATACCATGGTACTTTTTGTTAGTGTATTAAAAAGGTTTGAAGAAATCAGACATTTGATATTTCATAATTAGAAAGTGTGTCTTTTTCAGTAATTACATTAAAACTGAAATAAAATTAATATTAGATGAAAACTCAAAGTTGAACGACTTAAAAATACTAAAACTACAACTGAAATAAAAATTGATTAAAACTTTATAGAAACATTTTTAAAAGTGACAAAAGCTCAATTACTAAAATTAAAACCGAAAATATAATAAATGCTAATTTAAATGAATTAATGTTATAATAGTATACAAATAAATACCAACATACTGCAGTGCAGGTTCAAAGGTTTTGGGGTCATGTGATTTCTGAGAACTATTAGGCTATAGGTTGGAATTCTATAACTCATATAACCTGTTTCTCATACCTACACTAATAGTTCACAAGGATATATTCCTCCATTTCATTTAACCTCAGCCTTCAATTATGAGTTATGAAGTAACTGCAGTTATAAATAACACGTAGTGTGAAGTGTGGTGCCCAGCAAAGGATCATGGGAAATGGAATTGGAGATTATATCCCCATGTAATCCCATCGACCCGGCTAATGATATTACTAGGGGAAAGGGCTCGTGGTGGTTAGATAACCCACCCGTCTCTAGTTACAGCTGTGTGTACAGCCTTTTATTTAACTGTTATAAAAGCAGTTATTCATTACATCACCTGTGTGGTTTCTTTAAACGGAGGTCATGTTTTCTTGACCCTGTATCTAAAGTCCACATGTGTCTCCACAGCTATGACATGGTGCACTACGGTCACTCGAACCAATTACGACAGGCCAAAGCGATGGGAGATTATCTCGTAGTAGGAGTTCATACAGACGGTATGCTTCACAATTTCAGACCTTCACATAAAGTCACTGTAATATATAAACTGAAACTTATCATATATTTTTTCTTTCACGTTCAGAGGAAATAGCCAAGCACAAGGGGCCACCGGTCTTCACACAGGCGGAGCGTTATAAAATGATACGGGCCACTAAGTGGGTGGATGAGATTGTTGAGGGGGCACCGTATGTTACTACGCTGGAGACGCTGGACAAGTACAACTGTGATTTCTGCATGCACGGAGGTGAGGGGATCCTTTAGACACTTTTAGACATCCATATTAGTCATTTTAATATCTTTAAAGATGCTGTATCTTACAGTTTTGTGGAATTTTATTCCTTGAAGTACACTTATTTTCATCCCAAATGGTCAGAATTTAGTTTTTCATAACCATTTTCATCCTGATTCTGATTCATTCTGATTCTTAGAATTGAACAGCCTGAGTTTGTTACAGTTCCTTTTCTTACTGTTCCTTTTCACTCTATTCAAAATGCACATTAGGGCTGTCAAAAAAAAAAATTCGAATTTCGAAAATTCGTCGAATTTAAAATAAAAATCCATATTCGAATGCAAAAACGTTTTGCTCGATGCGCCCTCTTGTGGCCTCAGAAGAGAAGCCAAAAGCTATTCTTCACCATAACTAAAATTATGCATTTTAAATTCAAATATAATTTGACTTTTGATAATATTTAAGTACAAAATTCGAATTTAGTTTTTCAGCCATTTTGACAGCCCTAATGCACATTAGTTTATGTCAGGTCAGCTTTAGTTACTGAATAGGCATTATGTGTTAAATATAATATTAACATGACATTAACACGTTAGTACAAAATTAACATATGTTAATTACCTTATGCCAATGTGCTAATGATTGTGATGTCATATTCATGACTATTTCATGACTATTTAGAACGAATTATAACAATTATTTAAATGTTTTAGTCATAGTTATCTTCCTAGTTATCACCCTTCCTTGGTGTGTCGGCATAGTAATTTGTACATTAAAAGGAATAACCTGGTTTAGATTATATGCTTCTTTCAAAATAGTTAAAATTGTACCAAAATTTAATTGAATCTGTAATAATATCATATCTTTTGCTAGATGACATCACATTGACCGTGGATGGGAAAGATACATACGACGAAGTGAAGAGAATGGGCCGATACAGGTGAAGTCCAATGGGTCTCAGCTTGGTAATGTCACATATTACAGTCATTTAATAGGTTGGGAATGCCATTTTATGTTGCTTTGAATTCCAGTTGGGGAACATACTGTACATAACATGAACTTTATATGTGGTGTATGAGGAAAAAAACGAATACATGTTGTTCGTTT